CTGTTGTTGGCCATGTGGGAGTGTCCAGCACCTTAGCCACCATTCTCTCTGCTGGTCCCCTTATTTTTTATTTTTATTTATTTATTTAAATTTGACCAGAGAGGGACAGAGTGAGAGAGGGAGAGAGAGAGAGAAAGTGAGAAAGCAAGCCACCAGGCCTGTGACACAAATCATTTGTCAGTCGTGTGGGAGTCCAGCGCCTAAACCACCACATTACCTGATGTCCCCTTATTTATTATTTTTTTTAAGAGAGATTCTTGCTATAGGGCATGTGTGCCTGCTGAAGAGACAGAGACAGAGATAGAAAGCAAGAAATCACCCCCCGGGTGGGATGATTACTCTGCAATTCCTTCTCTTCTTGGGATTTTGGACACGCATACACACACACATGCATACGTGCACCTGCTGTGAGTTTCAAGCCACAGGGGTCCAGGCACTGAGCGCTGGTTGGCCATGTGGAAGTCCAGCAGTGTAATTGTTATGCCATGTACTGGTCCCCAGTTTCCTTTTCTAAGTGCAATTATTAAAGCTCTAAATTTCTTTCTAATCCCGCCCCATGAATGATACTTTCTAATTTCTTCTTTTTTTGGAGATATTTTTGCTATAGGGCATGTGTGCTTGCCAGAAAGACAGAGACAGAGAGACAGAAGGCGAGAAATCACTCCCGGGGGATGGCCACACCACAGTCCCTCCTCTATTCTCCTCTTGGGATCTTGGGCATGCACGCACAGGCGTGCGTGAGTTTAAGCCATTGGGTCCGGGACTCAACCTGCGGTCAACTACATGGGAGTCCAGTGACAGCCATTATGTCAGCTGCTGGTCCCAATACTTTCTAATTTCTATTGTAATTTCTGTTTTGACTCCTGAGTTATTTTAAGTATGTTCTAAAATTTTTAACCATTTAGGCTTTAAAATGATCTTTTTGATACACTAGTTCCTCTCCGACCTACAGTTTTGCTTTCTGTGGTTTCAGTTACCCATGGTCAATCATGGTTGAAGATAGGTATACTGGGCTTAACTGGTAGTTAAGGGAGCCAGATCCCATATGCTAGCTGCATGGTTTGAATCCCAGCCCCAGTGACTTGAAAAATATGCCAGGTGTGTGTGCATACATGCCTAAATACCTACTAGGATGAAGAAATGCAAAAGGGGTGGCCAGCAGTGGTGTGGTGTTTGAGGTGCTGGACTCCCACATGACTGAACATGGCTTGAGTCCTAGACCTGGGAACTTATTTCTCATTTTCCCTCTCCTCCTCCCATATGTGTTTCTCTCTCTGGTGAGCATATGTACCCTATAGCTAACTAAAATACTCAAGACTAAGTGAATTTAAGGGAATAGAAGTTTATTTTGACTCACTGTTGTGGTGGCTGGGAAGTCCAAAAGCACCGCAGAATGACTTTGAGCAGAACAGAGCAGAACGCAGTCTGTATCCGTGGCTTTCTCTCTGCTTCCTGTTCTCATTTCTGTTTGCACCTAATAGAACTCAGTCTTAGGGGCCCTGCCCTAACCATCCAGTCTATAATCTCTTCCCAGAAACCTCACTTTTCCATATCAAGGTTAATTTTTCACCTTCTTAATCGCATTACAATGACTGAACACATGAATTAAAAGAAAATAATTATTTAATTTTATTCATTGTCATTATTTTATTTTATTTATTTATTTTTTTTTGAGAGGTATTTGCTATAGGGCGCGTGTGCTCACCAGAAAGACAGAGAGAGACAGAGAGACAGACAGAAAGCGAGAAATCACCTCCCAGGAGGGATGGCCACACCACAATCCCTTCTCCTCCATTCTCCTCTCAGGATCTTGGACACACACGCACACACACCCGGCATGAGTCTAAGCCACCGGGTCCAGGACTTGAACCACAGTCAACTACATGGGAGTCCAGTAACATAGCCATTATGCCAACTGCTGGTCCCCTTATTTTACTTTTTAAAGTTGACCAGAGGGAGACAGAGAGAGAGGAAAAGTGAGAAAGCAAGCTGCCAAGTCCAGTATTTGAACCGTTGTTGGCCATGTGGGAGTCCAGCCGTCTGAACCACTGTGCCACCTCCTGGCCCCAACACATGAATTTCTGAGGGACATGTTCAAACTATAGTAGGTGTTGAGGAGGAGAATGTCACTGAGAATTAATTTTTGCAATGTATCAATCATTGTTAAAACAAGACTATGTTCTATTTAATTGGTTAATTTCTCTCTCTCTCTCTTAAGATTTTTTGCTATAGGGTATGTTCACTGGAGACACAGAGAGACACGGAGAGAAAGTGAGAAGTCATCCCCTAGGAGGGATGGCCATGCTGTAATCCCTTCTCCTCTATTCCCTTTCTGGCACTTTGGGCATGCACACACACACACACACACCCCTAGTGTGAGTTTCAAGCCAGGACTTGAACTGGGGACAACCATCTGGGAAGGCCAGTGCCATAACCACTGCACCACCTCCTGGCCTCTGGTTAATTTCTCTTAACTTTCCCATTGCTATTTGTAGAAACTTTCATGTTCTCTATCATGAAGGATGTATTTTATCAAAGGTGAATTAAAAAAAAAAATTGCCATGTCATCTAGCTGGTCCAAAAGGGAAATTTTATTATGGAAAGTTTTAACCAGATTTTCTTCTCTTAGATTGTTTAAAATTGAAATGTAAAGGCAATTAGTATATATTGTTAACAAAGAAACGACTTGTTTTTTAAGTTCAAGCATAATTCTGAATGGTTTAGCAATTGATAAAAAGAACATTTAAGTGGTGCTTAAGCTCACTTTCCTGAGAATGAGATAAAGCTAAAGCTCTGTAAATATACATTAGTGTGTTTTCTTTCTGTAATTCTGAATCTCACGTAAATGAATTTGTAGAATTAATCACTGTGGAAGGAATCCTTTTTGCCCTTCCCAACTGCAGCTCCCATAGGTACAGTTGAGTTGTCCTTCTGGGTTGCTTTAAGGGCACTTTAGCAGTTTTAAAAACTTAAGTACTAATTTCATAGCCAGTGTCAGCTGAATTTATTGAAGTAGGTCAGAGTCTGGATAGAAACTTGTTTCCCAACCCTAAAGAGAGTCATTATCCATTCTTCTATTTGTTAGAGAATGGTAATAAATTGTTCCACA